GTTGAAGTCCACACATCTTCAAGTTGCCAAGGTTGAGGACCCTGTTCTAAGACATGGAACAGAGAACCCCAGGCTCTTCACAAGAACACAAAAGCACTCCAGACCTCCTCTAATCACTGAATATTGCCAATATTGAGCTATTCTCTTTGTCACTGCACTTTTACTTTTTTTTTTTTTAACAGACAATTCTTTAAAGCTGATGCTGACAGGATTTGCATAAGCTTTACGTGCACACATTTGATCTAACAAAATGGTGAACAGCAGTCCCCAATTCTTTATTTTCACATAGTATGTGCAAAATTGATTAAACGTTTCAGAATCCAACCATATCGTCTTCCTTCTGAAGATGCTAGTTCTCATAGTAACATACAAAAGGCATTGTCAGCCCCCTTCCCTATTTGTTAAAGCAGCAGAAAAGGCAAACCTACTTCCATCATGGTTTTATATTGCAGGCTTTTCAACAAAGAAGTATTTCTTGTTTCCTTTTGCAATACTGCTCACTGAAAATAAAAGATTTTTGATATACTAAAGCAATGAAAAAAGATGGAACACATTTCTGAAGGAAATGAGTACAACAAAGAAACAGAGAGAGAGAATATAATCCAGTTAAATATGTACAAATATTGCTCAACCCAGACCAAGGAAACTTGACTAATGCTAATTGTTGAAAATACATAACTTCTGTTATGCATTTCTGTGTCTTATTAATGGGAACCCCCCCCCCGCCAGACCTTCATATTTAAGCCAGTGCCTTTAACTGCAATCCAACAGAAAATTAAGGAAGCCTAACTACATGGATCTTAAGAGGCTTATAATTGCAATCAGATTCTGATGGCTCAGCCAGTCCATTGTGATAGTTGCTAGTGTCTTTGCATTGCATTGTTACCATGAGGAGAGATATCAGTTGAATCACTTCCCATTGTAGCTTCTTGGATCTGAAGCCTCCTTATTAACTTACATGCATTTTTGTTCTAGCATCATTCATGCACACTAAGGTATGATGGCTTAGAGTGTCTGGGTGGTCAAGCCTGGCAGATTACTGTAAGTTCCACCTAGTTGATGGGAAAGGATACATTGTGGCTCAACTACTGACTGAACAAAGTGGTTCACTATATGAGCTCCCCTGCCTGGTAGGCTAGTATCTGATGGGGTTTGTGCCCTGGTTTGCTCTGAGTAGAGCATCCCAAAACAAGCTGGCTAGATTCAGCCACCAAAAGCAGAGCAAGTCATTTCTCTTCAACCAGCAGATTGCCCTCAAGATAAACAATTTTGGTCTGGTGAAGTACAAAAGACATTGTAAATAACTGGAGTGTAGATAAACC